AGCGTGTTTGAATTTTTTGCACGTGGGAGACTTCCAGAACAAAAAATGTACATACCATAAAAATGAGGGAATGGCTACAAGCATGGTCGTTTGCTAACATTCTTGGATTTGGGGCTAAAACAAGGGACCAAGTAAATATTCTGTTGCAGTTCCCAGGGTATTCATGTTTGATTTAATACCTAAACAGCTTGTTCCCACCGTAATGGCGTTGTTCGAATGCATCTTAGATGCTGGAGGTGAGGTTATGCACTTTTGACTTGGTTCGTATGTAGCCAATACGTGATCCTACCTGTGCTCCCAATTTAGTGCGTGAATGAATTGGGTATTATGTATCCCACGCTGGTCATTCCCGTTCTGAAATAAGTCTGCTCCCATGGCTTCTACGGAAAAGTGTGGTGACGTTTAAGAGAGCCAAATTGGTCTTCAAACAGGCATGGAGGAGCCTACGTGCAATCCAGCTTTAGTTCCCTACTCAATTGTCCCAAACGAGTCTGATACATATTATTTCTGAGGTATCGAAGGCTCTGTTGATCTGCTCGGTACCGATTTGGGACTTTGTCCCCATGCTATGTTGGAGGGATGAGGTATCTAGGTAAAATTCGATCTTTGGACTTGATTGATTGTGTGACTGTGCTCCACTCACCGCTACATAACATAGGACGCCTCGACAAAGATATCAATGTAAATTGAAATGGGTACCATAAGCCCATCTCATTCCCATTCCAAAAGAACCATGAGAACTCGAAAATCTCAATTAGGTAAGTAGGTAGTTCTCTCTCCCAACAGCCAGAGTGCAACATCCACTAACTTAGAAAGAAGGTAGAGGATGGGAGACCGCTTCAATTCTCCCGGGATTGGATAGATGCGCTTTGCGACATCCAATAAATCTGAAAAGCAACTATTTTCTTCGGGTGATCATCAGTGGGATGAATCATGGGCATTTTTTTTTCGAGCATCGTCATTTGCACAGTTTCATTCAGTGACTGGGATCTTCAGAATATTCACTCGGTCAATGATGAAGAAGTTCTCGTTTGGTATTCCTTCAGAATAAAGCATTCTTGAGTCTTGAGTCAGTTCCATGGCAATCGTAGCGGTGTCGATTTCGTTTAGCCATTCCGGTCCCATCAACAGGGCTGTCTGAAAGTGGCAAACATGGAAATCGTCATCATACGACGTATTCTTTCAATCTCTCCAGGGACGTTCATTGTCGTTCCACGGTGAATGTGTGCTCATTTGATGGCATTGGCAGCACACATACACACCCATCCACATGAGATTTTTCCTCCAATCCTCTCG